TAAAAGATAGAAGCCGAGTCCTTGCTGTCCAGCCTGCTGAGGAGCGGGTGGTGTGGCCGCCAGTTCAGCTGTACTCTGACTGGGGACGGGCACGGGAAGGGAATTAACAACTCACACAGGAGATCGACACCCCGGGTCACCTCCTCTCCCCGGCCGGGGCTGCCAGCCTGGGCTATTTTTAAGGCTGGAAACATCAAGTAAAGCAGACGCAGGGTGAGGAAGTAGCTGATCCCCCGAGGGGAGGAGGGTTAGATGCTCCACCGCTGCCGCTTGCGGTGATGAGAGCCTCCGTCCCGCTGCCGTCCTGGCCCTCGGGGCTCCGAGCCCTCCAAAAATCTGCTGTGTGCTCCTGCTGCCTGCAGCAGACAGGGAGATGGTTACCACGTTAGCATCAGCAATACCGGTGCTGCTGAAATAACTGGCTTTGCTCGGGCCGCATGTCCATCCCAGCTCTGCAGGCATGGGCTGATATCCCTCCTGCCCTGAGCATCCGACTGCGAGGACAGTTTTAACACATACAAGCGCTATGCACCGTCCTTGGGTGACCTTCCCTGGCAGGCAGGTCAAAGCAGACGCATGACGGATGGCGGTGACATCTGGAAGGCACGTGGTGCTGTGGCCACAAGGATTATGTTAACACCGGGATCAGTATCTTCCCTCCCCAACTCTGTTTTCGGATGCCTCAGTGGGATCTGGGTGCGTGGCACTGCCTGGTTAGTGCATCCTTCCCACGCCGCGGCGGGCAGTGTGGCAGTGTGACGGCTGGGAGAGCAAACCCGCCTGGCACGGCTGCAGGGAGGGACCCAGCAAAAACCTTGACTGTCCCCATTGTGACTCAGAGCTGCTGGGAGCAGCTCCTGGGCTCTCCTGCCCCCATCCTACCCCGCAGGCAGCAGCGGGTGTCACATCCCTGCACATCCCTGCATCCCTTCCCCTCTTCCCGGGAGAGGCAGAATGCTACTGCTGGGGGTGAGCTGGCACAGGTCACAAACCAATTTGGGCAGTAGGAGACTCTGTGGCCCGTTTCTGGTAGTCCCTGCTCCAGCCACATGGGAGCACTGGGAAGTAGGAGGCTGCTGATGCTTTCTGAGCTGCAACCTCTCCCGCACACCACACGTGCCCCAGCAAGGGGCTGCGGGGAGAGCGGGTCTTTGTTTTGTGCAGTGCTGCCTTGTGTGTGTGCCCTCCTGGGGCTTTAATTTCTGGGCAGATTCCTTAAAAATGCAATATCCCACCCTGAATGGCAAGGTGACCAAGCACAGGATGCTGTGCTGCAAGCGCAGTGTGCTTGTCCCCATCCATCTGCATTTATTCTTTGCCCTTAGCTTTTTTCCTCTTGTATTAAAATGAGGAAGTAATTTATAACTTTTTCAGCATTTGCTAATAGATGCAATAATACGTTTCCTGTTTGGTGAGCCAAGAGGGGTCCCTTCTGTGCTTCCGCAAGCAAAAAAGGCAGCCCTTCATGCAAAAAAGGGGAGTTGAGCTTCACCGTGCATTGTCAGCTGGACCAGAGCGTGCTCTGGTGACAGGAGTTTAATGGGAATCCGGTTATTAAAATTTAGAGCAGTATCAAGCATCCAAAATAATACCTATCATACCTGAAAAGCCCTTAGGTTCTTTTTACAAGTCCATTTTGAGTCTGAGATTGTTTGGGTGCCACTTATTTGAGCAGATAAACAGTATTAATGATGTGATGGTAGGTACTAGCACAAAAAAGCGAGCTGAAGTATCAGGCCAGCAATGACTTGTCTCAATTGATTTAAATGAAAGACTTTGACCTTGCAGGTAAAGGCAACGCTCCCTGCTTTGCTTTAAAAGATTAAATTGTCACTAGATTATTTTTTCTTGATATATTATTAATGTGGTTATTAGATGCAGCCTTTCTGCTATGGAGAATATATTGTGCTTATGCAATTACTTAAATGTCCCTATCCTGAAATATGACTTAGATTCTTAATTCTTCATCTTAGCCGATTCATTTACTTCACTACACTGTAATTCTGGGTTTATTAAATTGCTCTCAGGATAAAAGGTGTGAAACCTTTTTGCTATCAATATGTTCTTGAAACTAAATGTATGCTTAATTTGAAAGGTTATAGCTGCTGGTTTAAAAAAAAAAATCTGAATTTCACTCTGGGCTCAGCAAAATAACTTAAAAATCTGGCTACCTACTGTAGATCGACTGTTTGCTGATGGATCACTTGCAACCCTTGTGTCCAAGGCTTTGCAGAGTTGCTTGGACAGCTCTCGGGGGGCGGAGGGCAGGACACTAGACCTTCTTTTGTCTCTGGGTGCCTGAACACCAGCTGGTTTATACTGTGCTCGTGCGAAACCAGGGCTGCTCTTGCTTTGAATCAGCATGGTGAATGTCAGCCCTGTGGCGTGCTTCTGTAGTTAGCTGCTGCAGGAATACCCGTGCATGGTAAGGTAATTGGAAAGGGTGAGACCTAGACCTTCTCGTCCTGGTAGGTCTGGGGGCTGCCTGTGATGAGACTGGGTGGCTCAGCCCTAAATGGCCACTTTCCAGGACCTCTGTGGGGTGTGAGGTGCCTTGGGTGCTGTGGGACCAAAAGGCCAACCCCCCGCTAAGCTTCTGACGCTCGGAGAAAGTGGAGAGGCAGCATCCTCTAGCAGCTGATGCCTTACTACAGGCAGGAAACTTTTTCAAGTGCTTAAAATAAAGGTCATGCTTGGCTGAAGTTGCCTTATGCAAAGCTGGTGACTTTACTGTAGAAAGCAGAAGTTCATGGTTATGTAAAAACCTCCTTAAAACATCCACGGGTGTAACAGGCTGGAGGGGTTTTACCCAGGAGGTAGAAGATGCAGGGGAATGAGGGGGCTGGAGAGTTGTGCTGTGCTGGGGCCCGGAGGCTCCTCTGCTCTTGCACAGTGCAAACTGGAGGAAAGGGTGTGTGTAACGTGATAGGTTTTATTGATCCTTTGAGGGGGATGCGAGGCAGGATTCCCCTGTGCGGGCTGCTGCACTGACGATCCATGTTGGCCTGGGGACCTGCCTGCGGACTTCCCTCTCTGAGCCTGTTAGGAAAGGACCCGCTGGAGGAGCACATCCCTTCCCACTGTGCCATGGTCCTTCAGGGACAGGGTGCTCAGTAGCTTTTCCTTCCAAGGGCCGTGAGCTCCTTCGCTTTGAGCTGTTTGTGATACCTAAAGGTGACACTCAAAATTCTTCCTTTGGCCAGAAAACGTGAAGGTTTCTTTGGTGTGGCATTGTCTGCGGCAGCTGGGGCTCCTGCAGCCAAGGATGGGGATGAGCACCCAGCTGGGTTGCAAGTCTAGAGCTCATGCAGCATGGGGACACCCCCACGGTGTTGGGGACATCCTCAGCCATGGGTGGCATTGGAGTCTGCTCACAGTGGCATGGGGAGGTGGCTGGAAATAACAAAGACCTGCAGCTCAAGTATAAACTTTTCTTTTCTCTCTTTTTTTTTTTTTTTCCATTCCCCAGATTATCCTCTTGATCTGAACCACAACGACACCTTTCTGCAAGCCACAACGTTTCTTCCTGAAGACTTTACCTACTTCCCCAACCACACCTGTCCCGAGAGGCTCCCTTCTATGAGTGAGTAGCATCCCGACGGCTCCATGCCCCTCTCCTGCTCTCCATGGCTTTGGAGGGCATATCGTGGCGTTCCCCGGCTCACCGGTATTGCACCTTTCCCCGCCAGGCACCTGGGGATGAATGGCAGCGCTGTTCGGAGCCCGGTCCCCTCCTGGGAAATCATTGTTTACCCACTCACACAAATTAATCCCTGCTACGTCGGAGGCACGTCTCCCTGGCGAAGCAGGAGCCGATTGCTTGGCAAACGCAAACAAAAGAGGGATTGTGTGCTGGGAGCCGGTGAAAAGGCTCGGCCAGCCCTTTTCCAGGGGCAGCGGTGGCGGGGTGGCTCCCTTGCCCCTTGGCAGCACTGCCGGTCCCAGCCCCGAGCTGTGCTGGGTACAGCTGGGCAGGGGCTGGTGTGGGAGACAGGCCGGACCCCCCTCAAGGGGGCCGCAGCTGGGAGAAACACTTCCACCAAAGCGATATTGAAGTGGAAAATTGGGCTTTTGCGGGTAAATGTTTCTGAAAACGCTCTCCGCTGAGGTGTGGGGTTTTGTGTCTGCTGGAAACCTGTATGGAGAAGTAGAGGGGTGCCCCGACTGGTGGGTCTCTGATGGAGAGCTGCATCCAACAGCGGCCACAAAGGCTGAACAGAGCCCAGCTGCTGCGGAGATGGTGGTGTTACAAGTCATGCCAGCAGCATTTCCTAATCGTTTTTGATGGTGCTTGGGGAAAAGAAGAGGCTGCCTGCATTCAGTGCTGGGGATAGAGGGCAGGGATGCAGCAGAGCGCTGCCCCGAGCAGGCACCGAGCTGCCCCAGGACCAACCACCTCCTCTGCTTCTCCCCGCTGCCTCCACAGAGGGCCCCATCGATGTAAATATGAGCGAGATCACAATGGAGGATATCCACCAGTTCTTCTCAAAAGACCCTTCCATCAAGCTGGGAGGCCACTGGAAGCCGAGCGACTGCCTGCCTCGCTGGAAGGTAACCGGGGGAGCTGGGGAGCTCTCTGTCCCTGCTGAGCATGGGGGGATGGAGGGTCCTGGGCGGATGGTGGGAAGCCATTAATGGGAATGTCTCTGATGTGCTGCAGCTCCGGAGTAATGAATATAAGGATCTCTGAAGTGTGGGGCTGCAGTGCCTGGGCGAGAAATGCTGAGCTCAAGAGCTGCTTTAGTGATGCATGAGTCGGCTCTGAGCTTCTGACTGCCGGGG